ATTCTGCTTTGAAATGTTTTGAAATGACAGCTTCCTAGATAATCCAGTGGACAAAAGTATTGGGCACCTGCTCCTAAGGTTCTTTAAGTCTTACTTCATCCACGTAGTGCCTTTGTCACAGGCATTTTAATCTCCATTTCCTGGATAGGAAAACTGAGACCCAAAGAGGTTAAATGCCTCATGCATAGTTACAGTGAGTCAGCAGAGTTGGGAGCTAGAATTTACAGTCTGAGATTTCCAGTCGACTCTCCACTGGTCTGGAGGGCCTTTATTTTCTTCTCTGATTCACTATCTGAGGGTCTCTATCTGAATGTCTTGAGGCTAAACATGCACACGCTTGTTCATGCAAATAAAATGGAATTTTTTTTTTTTTTTTGAGTCAGAGTCCACAGCCACTGCAGACTCGACCTGCTGGGCTCAGGCGATCCTTCCACCTCAGCCTTCCAAGTATCTGGAACCACAGGTTCCAGAAACGACCATGCCCAGCTAATTTTTTGATTTATCGTAGGGATGAGATCTCGCCAAGTTGCCCAAGCTGGTCTTGAACCCCTGGGCTCAAGCAGTACTTTCGCCTCCATTTTCCAAAGTGCTGAGATTACAGGCGTGAGCCACCATGCCTGGTTATAAGATGGAAATATTTTTAATGTGAACCAGAGAGGCAAATTCTCAGAATGAAACCATTTCCCTCCCAGCTGATCCCAGGGGAAGCTGTAGCCTGGGAGGGAACTGGGTCCTTTGCAGCTCCCATACCACCAAAGTTCCTTTTCTACTTCGCAGTGGGGAGGATTCTCCTCCACCCCCATGTTTGCTTTTTGAGGCTTTTGAACAAGTGGTGAGAGGTCAGGCTTAGGGGTCAGGGTTCCCAGCCCAGTGTACAGCCTTGCAGTATACAAAATAAATGGGTCAGTGATGATAGTGCTTGGGTGGAGCCATGAATACTCAGGGATTTGGCTGTCTTAAACTGGACTGTCCCCTCCTAGGGAGCAAGGACCTGGTTGTGGGAGAGAGTCAAGGAAAGGAAGTCACATACTGACCAGCAAGAGTCCCCCATGGCCAAGAGGAAGTAGCTGATGAGAGGAGGACCCCTGCTATAGCAGTATAAATAATCACAGGGTTTCCGGAAGCTCTGTCCTGTTCCAGTACTCAAAAGAGCAGTTCCTTACCCCGAGGCCCTATGACCTGCAGAGGGGACCAGGGTGGTAGCTGGAATGCCTCCTTTTGTACTCACCCCACAGATAAATACAGCAGCCCATGTATTGGGCACTTCCTATGTGCCATGCCTCATGCCAAACACTTTCTACACACTGACTCATTTTACACTCTGAGCAATTCTAATGAAATAGGCAAGATTGGCCAGACACAGTGGCTCATGCCTATAATCCCAGTACTTTGGGAGGCCAAGGTGATAGGATTGCCTGAGCCTATGGGTTCGAGATCAGCCTGGGCAACTTGGCGAGACCTCATTTCTACAATAAATCAAAAAAGTTAGCCAGGCATGGTGGCGTGTGCCTGTAGTTCCAGCCACTTGGAAGGCTGAGGCAGAAGGATCGCCTGAGTCCAGCAGGTCAAGGTCTGCACTCCAGCCTAGGCGACAGAGTAAGACTCCAACTCAAAAAAAAAAAGAAAGAAAAAGGCAAGACTATCCCCATTTTACAGATGAGAAAATTGAGGCTCACGGTACTTAAATATATTGCCAAGACCATACATAACTAGTTGGTGGAGCTATAATTAGAATCCTTGCCAGTCTGACTCCAGCATCTGTGTTCTTAGTGGTAGTGTTTTCTACCCAAGAGATGGAAGCCCCTGAGCTTTTTCAGAGGCACATGCCATAGACTCAGAAAAGGGACAGAAGTTTGAGGGAGAAATCAAGTTTGTTTTGTTTTGTTTGAGTCAGGGTGTCACCCAGCTAGAGTGCAGTGGTACGATCATGGCTAACTACAGCCTCAAACTCCAGCATCCTGAGTAGCTGGTACTACAGGCATGCACCATCATGCCTGGCTAGTTTTTTTTATTTTTTGTAGAGACAAGGTCTCACTATGTTGCCTATGCTGATCTCGAATTCCTGAGTTCGAGTAGCCCTCCCACCTTGGCCTCCCAAGAGGTTCTGGGATTACAGGCATGAGCCACCATGCCCAGCCAAAATCAAGTATTTGTCTTGCTCTTCTGTTCATTCCTTCTGGCTGGGCTTGAGAGATCTATTCAACCCCACTAAGGGCATTAAGAGAAGATATTGACATCTGGGCGCCTCAGCCTCTATCTCATTCAGCATAACATAACCCAATTCCAATCCAAATATGGCCCAGCTACATCTCCAGTATTCCCCTGCATTGATTGCCAACCTGAATGTGTGTAGCCAGATAGGGTTTTCCATGCTTGCAAGAATGATGGGGTAAGCTCTCCCTCTTTTCCCCATGGGCAGAGTACCCTGTATTGGGATCAGGCAGCTATCTAAAGAATTTTGCTCCTTACTCACCAGGTTTCTTACTATGCCTTTGGTTTGCACTCAGTGGCCAAGATACCTGGTTTGGAGAAGTTGGAACATCAGTGTAGAGGGCAGGGTAGGCCCTGAGTTGGCAGAGGTTCTACCCATGGCTACATCCCAGAGTGACCTGGAACAGCCACCCTGTGCCAGAATCCCTCTTTGGTCTCCTGGTGGCAGGGAGCCATATTTAGTAGAGGATCTGGTAGATCCCTAAACTTATACACTGTCTTTCTACGTCTATATTACCTATAGAAAAATACAAGCTAATACTTACTGATTGGGCACTGTTCTAAATACTTTACGTGTGTTAACATAGATAACCTCACAGTAACCCAGAGGCAGGTTATCCCCATTTTACAGATAAGAAAACCGAGGCATACGAAAGGTTAAATAATTTGCCCAGAGTCATGCAGCTGGGAAATAGCAGAACCAGGATTTTGATCTCAGTCTGGCACCAGAGTTTATGTGCTTCCCACCACATCATACTGCATCTTTGCTTGGTCTCAAGGCCTTTCATTGTGCATCTATCTCTCTGATACCTGTCCTGATGGGATTTCAGGGATAGTGTCAGGTTATGGTAACAGGAGCGGGTTTCCCTCTGTGTGTTCCCATCCTTTCTTCCCAATAGGTAGAGGCCTCCCTAACCAAGTGTCCCTTTCATCTGTCCACAGGTCACTGCATTCAGAGGGTCCCAGAAGAGGGAGGAGGCGCTGCCTCCGCTTCAGCAACTGCACCCACGATGCAGAGCATCAAGTGTGTGGTGGTGGGTGATGGGGCCGTAGGCAAGACGTGCCTGCTCATCTGCTATACAACCAACGCTTTTCCCAAGGAGTACATCCCCACGGTGTTCGACAATTATAGCGCCCAGAGTGCAGTTGATGGGCGCACAGTGAACCTGAACCTGTGGGACACTGCGGGCCAGGAGGAGTATGATCGCCTCCGCACACTCTCCTACCCTCAGACCAACGTCTTTGTCATCTGTTTCTCCATTGCCAGTCCGCCCTCCTATGAGAACGTGCGGCACAAGTGGCATCCAGAGGTGTGCCACCACTGCCCCGACGTGCCCATCCTCCTGGTGGGCACCAAGAAGGACCTGAGAGCCCAGCCTGACACCCTACGACGCCTCAAGGAGCAGGGCCAGGCGCCCATCACACCGCAGCAGGGCCAGGCACTGGCCAAGCAGATCCACGCCGTGCGCTACCTCGAATGCTCGGCCCTACAGCAGGATGGTGTCAAGGAAGTGTTTGCTGAGGCTGTCCGGGCTGTGCTTAATCCCACGCCCATCAAGCGTGGGCGGTCCTGCGTCCTCTTGTGACCCTGGCACTCAGCTTGGAGGCTGCCCCTGCCCTTCCCCCACCAGTTGTGCCTTGGCGCCTTGTCTACCCCAGCTGTGCCTTAAGGACTAATTTTGGCACCCCTTTCCAAGGGGCTCCCTGAATGCCTTTTTCTCCGAGTACCTTTTTTCTTCATAAAGAGGCCTGCAGAGAAAGGGCATCCTTGAGGCCCTGCTCCACTCTGCTTGGGAACACCAGATATTCTCATGAGCTCACCCAAGCCAAGGATGGACCCCTCCCCAAGAGGCCTATCCAGTACCCCCTCCCTATTTTCTGCTACTGACCAGTTCATCCAGCTTTCCACAGTTGCTGCTGCCTATTGTGGTGCCTCCTCTTGGGTTAGAGGCTCTCAGCCATCTCTAACCTCTGCCCCTGCTGCTCTTGGAATTGTGCCCCTAAGATGTTCTCTCCCTTCCTCCAGGAAGGAGCCACAGAATCCTGAGAAGATGAATGTGCCCTAACCTGCTTCCATGTGCCCAGGCCTTATGCATCCGCTGACTGACTCAGCCCCTGTGCTGCTGGGGGCCTTTCCTACCCCATCAGCATCAATAAAACCTCCTGTCTCCAGAGGCCCCGGCTCCTCCCTGTGTGCTGGGCATTAGGGGGTGGGCATGGGCAAGGGCTCCCCAGAGACTGGGAGCCTTTTGTTTCCTCTAATAGGGGGCAGGAGACAATAGGCTTCATTGTGGTTCCTCCACCCCCCAATTTCCCTAACAAAGCTCTGGGCTGCCTTGGAGGGACAAGTCTTGCTCTGGGGCCCAGTCACAGATGCTACAGTATACTAGAAGACAAAGCTTGAGGAAGGACTGATCTAGGGCTCAGAAAGAAAGTGGTTGAGAGCCATCAGCCTAAAGGCAAATACTCTCAAAATCATGCATCTGAGAGCTGTACCCTTACACCCCTACGGGTACAAATCTTTACCAAGAGCTGGTGTTGGGACCCAGGCTTCTGCCTCAACTAAAGACTTCCAGGTATCCCAGTTTCCAGGCCTGGAGTAGCTCAGTCACTCCCACTCACCAAAATGGAGGCTTCAGAGACTAGACCTAAGGGACGGGGTGCCACTTGGAATCATACCCTCCCATGGACTTATTCCCTCCATCCTGGAGTCATTCCTCACTAATTTCTTATCAAACAAGGAGATGAGTCCAAGACTAGTGTGCCTAGCTCAGACTGTTGGCAAAAAAAAAAAAAAAAGAAAAAAATTTATTTTCCTTTAAAATAAAATGTACAACCAAAGAGCTCAGAATCTGCAGCAGTAGGGAAGACAGAGGGATACCAGGGAACCCATTTAGGGGAAGGGATCTGTGCCTCTGACCCCTCCACCCTACACCTTTGCAAAAGAGGGGTCCATACACCAGGAATTTCAGAAGAGAAGGGAAGTACATGCTGTGCTGGTGCTTGTATTCTGGAACAGTTTATCCTTTTAGGTGCAGAACACCACCTCCATCAGATGCCAGACCACAGACTGGCAGAGCCCTTGGTAATCATACAGCACACCCATCCGCCATCATAACTTGGATACACTGAGGCTCATAAGGAAGGGCACACACCCAATCAAAGGTGAAGTCAAGACTAGAACACCTGAGCAAGCTTAGGAGGGGACTGTGGCCACAGGCCTGGATGTGACAGTAGATCATTAGATACATTAGTCATGTGAATAACTCTGTGGAGAGAAGTGGCTGTGGTTGTCAGGCAGCAGCCACTGTTCAGTGGTTCCTAACCTAAGCGAAAGGTGGCTACGTAAAGGCCAAGAACTGGATGGTGGTTATGAACCTCAGGACTTTTTTAGCACCAAACAGCGGAGCTCTCCTGCCAACTCAACTTCTTGGGGCTTCTTGGGTAATGGTGGTATTGGTTGAGGGCCCCTGCATCTGTATGAGGTGTGGGGAGCAGAAGCCAGCAGCACTGGGGTCAGCCTTGGCCTATGCCCTTCCTTCTTACCCCTCCCCTATCTTCAGTAGGGCCCAGAGAGGACAGGGGGTGGGGAAGGCCAGAGTGGTTTCATGTTTCTTGTTTCTGGGCAGTGGGCTGCCTCCTCCCGAGCAGGAGAGAAGAGTTCAGAATCGCTTTTCCTCAGGCTGAGAGGTTATGAGCAGCTCCTTGTTTCCGAAGTCCCACCAGGCCGTCATGTGGAACGCCATGTTGGTAAGGACAACAGTGTACTCCAGGATGGCAAAGATGGTGTACACTGTTGTGAGGACACGAGGATCAGGGCATGGTGAACTTCCTACCCCCTCCCAGGGCCTCATGGTATACCACACCACTAGTCCACCACAGGGAACACAATGGCTGCCAGTCCCCAAGACCCATCATCAGAAATATCACAACTGCCCCATCATCACCTATGACCACCTGAGATCCCGTTGGCCTCACCTCCAGCCTCACAATACATGTTGTGCCGAAAGTAAACAGCCAGCGCTGAGAAGAAGGAGACGAAGTTGATGATGAAGAGCCTCTGTTTCCAGCTGTAGGACTTGCGATCCTAGAGAACAGGCTGTCTGATCACCCTGCAGCTTGTTGGGTATGCGTGGCCAGCCTTCCCTCTTAGCCCCAGCTCCAAGGACTGAGCCTTACCTCCCTGGGCTCCCACTAGTGGTCATGGAAGGGAGCACAGGCCAGGGCAACAGGAATGATGAACATGTTCATATCCCTGCATTTGGGGGAGTGCTAAGGCCAGGGAGCTATGGTATCTCTGGCCGTCCCACTTACATGGAGTCACCAACTCTACACCTCCAGATAACAGGAATAAGAAAGGTGTGTATGTGGGTGGGGCATCCAAACTATTACAGACCACAGTCCCCTAACACTTCCTAACCCAGGGCATCCTGGATGCTGGCCCTCATTCCACCACCACTTGGAGCCTCCACCTCCTATTCTCCAGTCTCCTGCACTATCCAAACACAGTCCTACATTCCGCCCAGTCACCCTCCGTTGGTCCCCAAGCCCCAACCCCAGCATCCCTCTGCCAGTTGCCATTAGAACTCCAGTTCCCACCTCACCATTACCCACATCGAGGACAGAAGCCCTTGGTTTTTTCCCGGGCTACCTGGAGCCCCACTAAGGGTAGACCGTACCTCCTGACTTACTGTGTGCTTCTTGGTTAGCCGCCAGAGAATGCAGGTGAGGAGCATGTGACCCAGGGATGAGGCGATGAACACAATGAAAGCATTTTCGTGGATGGCTAGAGGGAAAGAGGATTGGGAGCCACACTGCAGGGAGTACCCACACCTCTATGCAGGAAGGTGCGAGTGTGGGAGAGGGCAGGCCCGTCTCCTCCCCAACCCTTCCCCATGCCTCCCTCTGAACCCACTGAAGTCCTCAGAGGATGAGACGTAGGTGAGCACTAGCAGTGCCAGGTTCTCCACGACGTTGAGGCCGAAGTTGAGGCGGCAAAGCGGGCGGTAGCAGGGACACGGGGAGGCGCAGCTGAGGTAGTGGTTCCAGTAGGCAAAGGCCACCATGAAGCGAGGTGCTGAGTGCAGGCCGATGCAGAAACGCCACACATAGCGCTGGGGTACCTCCCCGCCGATGGCCGAGCTCACCGAGGGCAGGTAATTGGGCACCTAGAGAGTTGTGACTGTGTCTAGGCCTCTGTCTCTGCCAGGCCCACTCACCTGGAGAGCCTTCTCTCCATCTATCAAAATCACTCAGGTCCTCAAAAAGCTCTGCTTCAGCCCCTCCCCTTTCAGGAAGTCCTCCTTCAGGTGGGCCCTGACCACTCCTTGAACTCTCCTTTTAGGTCCTGGGCCCTGTGTGGTAGGTTCTCTTTCCCCAGCCAGCCCGGGATTTGTGCAGGGGCAGGAACATGACCTTGTCCTTGTGTATCTCCCCCATCCATCTTTCTCTATGCCTAGAATTCCTCATTCCTTAAGGAATTGAAGTCTCACTCATTAAGGCTGAGGAAGAAGAAGGAGATAAGACACAGGTGCAAGGACTTTCTCCATCTCCCTGCTTTGGGACCAGCACAAGTTTGGGCAGCGTGTAGATGGGTCCAGATGCTCTCCATGCCCATAACTCAGAGCGTGCCTACTGTAAGGCCCTGTGAAAGTTCCAGTCCAGGACCAGATTTAGTCCTGAGGACGGGGATGAGTCATGGGCCATCTGAGCTTCCTTGGGAGAGTGCTGGAGTCACTGCCCAGCAGACATATTCCTCTGACTGCTCCCAGCTGCACTTCTTCCTCTGAGTATATGTGCCAAGGTGGTAAAGGGTGCTGTGAGATCCTGCGGCAGCTGGGCTGGAAGGGTACCCCTACCTTGATCATGTTTAAGAAAGTGGGTGCTCCTAACCTGCCGTAGTATAAGAAAATGATCTTATTCTTGTATGTCTCCCCCATCCATCTTTCTCAGTGCCTGAATTCCTCATTCCTTAAGGCTGAGGAAGGCAGATTATACACAGCTGCAAGGACTGGTGTGTTCCATATGTGAGAAGTGAGAAGATAGGGGATGAGTGAACAGTAGTGTAGATGGGGGCAGAAAACTCAAGGATGGGAAGGCAATCTCATAGACTCCAGGGCCTAGAGCAGTGCTTCACAAATGTTAATGCATACAAGCGCTGGGCGTAGTGGCTCACACCTGTAGTCCAAGCACTTTGGGAGGCCGAGGCGAGAGTATTATCTGAGGTAGAAGGATCACCTGAGCCCAAGCAGGTTGAGGCTGTGGTGGCCGTGAGCGTACCATTGCACTCCAGCCTGGGCAACAGAGTGAGACTCCTACTCAAAATAATAATTTTTTTAAAATAATGCACATAAGTCACGGGGGACAAGGGGAGTGGTTGTATGAATGTGCAAGACTGGAACCTGAGAATCTGGTTTTTTTGTTTGTTTGTTTTTGAGTCAGGGTCTCATTCTATCGCCCAGTGCAGTGGCATGATCACAGCTAACTGCAGCCTCAACCTGCTGGGTTCAGGCAAGGCAACCCTCCCGCCTAAGCCTCCCAAGTATGCCTCACAATTTTTAAAATATTTTTTGTAGAGACGAGATCTCACTATGTTGCCCAGGCTGATCTCAAACTCCTGGGTTCAAACAATATTCCCACCTTGGTCTCCCAAAGTGCTGGGATTATAGGTGTGAGTCACTATGCCCGGCTCAGAATCTCCCTTTTTTAAAGATTCCAAGGCTATGGTAGCTGTCAGACCATTGCCCAAACTTTCTACGGACATGAACTTTTGTAGACCCTCAAAGAGGGCCAGGGCAATGGCAGAGCCCAGCAACCCAGCAAGGGAATGACCCTGATCTATTGAGGGACCAGTCTTCAGAGATGGAGTTCTGAAAGCTCCCTTCCTTTGTTCCAATGGAGATGCTGAATGGAGTCTCTGGCCTGCTGGGAAGGTAAGCAATGCTGGAGGTAGCTCACAGGGCAGGGGCAGGTCTGGAGCAGGACCAGCCAGGGGTTTCAGAGCCTCCATAAAAGAGGAGATGGATTTGCCTCAGCACTGTCAGAGAAAGCTAAACACAGAACTCTCAGAGAGTTCATGGTGTGTCATAGCTTGAGACACCAGACTCAGTTATGTACTCTGAGTAATCAGTGAAGAGGCAGCATGGAGGTTATGGAGCCGCACAAAGCTGGGTCTGCATCCCAGCTCTCCCTTTATTAGCTGGGTGACCTTGAGCAAGTCACTTCACCTCTCTGAGCTCTAATTTCCTCATTGGTAAAGCGAGTATAACACCACCTACCTCGCAGGGTGATTATGAATTCTAAGTACAATGTATGTGAAGCATCTGCAGTGTCTGGCATGCAGTGGGTACAAGAAGTGGTGGCTTTCAGAAGACAAAGTTCCCTGAAAAACCTGCAAAAGGGCTGTGATCTGCATGGCCATTGAGCATGGGAAGGCCTGCTTATGGGTGAGAGGCAAGAACCAGATCTTTGCCAGACACTTGTGAGACCTCCAAGGCTCCTTACTTGACTTTTCTGCTTTGCTGTTACCCTGAGTTCGGCTAGTGAGAGTTTCCCCTCCACTTCCTGGAATATTCATTCTAGAAACTACTCCCCAACCTCAGCTACTTTAAGCGAAACAGGACTGGCATCTAAAACTTGACTGAGAGCTCAAAGCATTCAAGGGCTCTGAGCTCTGACCACGTGGGAAACAGCTATCAGGTGGAGATGATAGAGTTTGGGGAGAAAGACAAAGTTAGCCAGTCTTCACAAGCTCCTCTCAGATTGGGGGGGTGGTATTCTAAGAGCAGGGACTGTCTCTTCCATCATGTACACACGTATACATGTGTACACACACACACAAAATCAGGTACATATACCCCCATCTCCATTCCCTGCACACCAGTTCCCCACTCACCAACTGTGCCAGCAACAAGCAACATTCAGGGGCTATCAGACACCAGGTACACAAGCTCACTCCAAACCTCCCCAAAAGCCCAGAGCTAAAGTACTGAGAGATGAGTAGGTAACCCCTTTCTGGTAGGGCAGCAGATCACATACTCATATGGTATAAATAAAGGGAGGGGTCCAAAAAATCTCCTGTTATGGCACCTCAGATTTCACTAGAGATTCATTTTTTTGGCTTCAGGTACAAGTCCCCCAAATTATAGATGACTTCTCCATCTACTTTACTGTCCCCTACCCTTGTGAACGAAATAAAATCTCCTGTTCCTGTCAATCCTACCTGCCATGCCTCGCTAAACTCCATCTCCTCCCCTCTATCTTCGTACTCCCCATCTTAACTTTCATCTCCCCAGTAGCATGAGCATGAGCCTCTTCACTTGGTCTCCCTACTCTTGCCCTGCTTTTAAATCTGTTCTCCATTCAGGAGCCAGAATGATCTTCTGAAGCATAAATCCGATCATGTCCCTTTCCTGCTTAATATCTTTCCAAAGCTCTCCATTGTCCTCTGGATAAAATATACAGTTGTCAGCCAGCATTCACGAAGATTCTAATTCACCCCTGGAACAACAATGCCCCATCCTTCAGGAAGAAATCCTTCCCCAACATCCAGCCTGGGTTAAGTGCCTCCTCTGAGCCCCACAGTCCCTATATTCCCTCTTATCACAGTAAATAGCACAGTGAGGAATCCCACCTCACTGTGTTGTAATTGTGTTTAAGGACTGACTCTAGCAGGAATGAGATGCTGAGGGCAAGTCCATATTCAATTCCATGCCCCGACACAGAATCTTTACCCCTGGGCCCTAGGAAAGGCCTAGTGGACTGATCTGGGACGCAAATGTTCATCCAAGTTTCTGGCTGGCAGAGGCCTGCGTGGACACAGGTTGTGGGGCCTGGGCTGCCAGTGGGAGAAAAAAATTTGAGACTCCCAAATCAAGGCTGAGGATCCTCCAGGACAGACACCCCTAGTCTAGGCTAAAGCGACCTGTTTCATCTCCCGTCTTCTGATCTCATTTTACCCCCTCAATCCTGGTGTCCTTTCCAATCTGGTCTTTCTTCAGCCTCCTTCTCTTTCTCATGATCTCTCCTGCCCAATCCAAATCTCTTCCCTTCCCTCACATCCCCCCACCCCATGCTCCTTTACACTTTCTAAAATCCTCTTCCAACTCTTAGAGGACTGTGAGTTTACTCTCTGAGTCTCTCTCCCCAAATTCTCCCTAACTCTGACTTGCCCCTCCTCCCATCCCTTTGTCCCTTTTCCCTCTCTCTGACCCTCCATCTTCTCTCCATTCTCTGATTCCACCCTTACTGCCATCTCTTGACCTGGTTCTGACCCAGGGGCTGGGGAGCCTGGCACTCACCCCACAGTCAGTGGCCACCGTGTACTCAAAGTGGAACACCAGGGACCAGATGATGCAGAAGAAGAAGCCGAACACGGGAAAAGTGATGACCCACCATACCATGGCTGTGAAGCGGAGCCGGAACACAGTTCCATCAGGGTCCAAGGGCTGGGAGGCTGCAGAGAACATCCTGTAGGGAGTGGCCCCAGCAGGGCAAGGGACACAACTTGGGGCCTGGTGAAATACCTGGACCTGGGAAAGTAAGCCAGCTTTTCCAGAGCTGGCTTCCAGAGTATAAGGAAGAACAGAAAGAGGATAAGGGAAAAAGGAAGATAGTACCAAGGAGGAGGAGCAGAGGGAGATGGGACAGGAGCAGCCAAGATAGGAAGGGTCAGCTCTTAGGAATCCTCTTGGCACACTGATACTCTCGGTCCAACCTGGAGAATAGCCTGGATGTGGGAGCGCTGATGGCCCACCTCATGTTCACGACCCTTATGGCTACCCAGGAGATGGATCAGCAGTAGAAAGGACATTAATCCCATCCCACAGAAGGGGAGACTGAGGCACAGACTAGGATTAAATCCAGGTCTCTTGCCATCTGACAATTTAAGGCTTTTAGGTTAAGGCTTCCCTCAGGCCACGTAACCTAAACAAAGGACCGTTGACTCATAATGGCTGAAGCCCTTCTACTGACCCTGCCTGACCACATTCCTGCTTCTCACTCAAGTTCAACTAGGAACAGTGAGAGCATCCTAGAACCTATTTTAATGGGGGTCACAGGCTGCCAACCATCCCGCCCCCAGGCTCTGAATGATCCAAACCTCAGGCCAGCAGAATCCTGTTCCCAAAATATTAGGGTCACTGTGAAGGCCCAACCCCTATCTCCTTCCCCTCTGAGGAGACCTAATGTTACCAAATCCAAGACTTGGGGGAATTTGAGGGTCATGAAAACCTCCACAGAGTTTGAGCCTGCTATCCTGGGCCAGACCCAAAAAGCCTCTGTCCAGATCAGACCCAGACCCAGGAGACTGAACTTCTTCCACTCCCTTCTCCCTCCTGCCAGATAACTCCCTCCCCGCAATTCCTACTGTCCCAGCCACCATGACCCACCCAGCTGGGGCAAGCTGGGAAAGACAGAGATGGCTTAGTATTAAAAGAACTAGGACCTTCCGGGTTCGGAGGCTTATCCTATAATCTCAGCACTTTGGGAGGCCGAGGCGAGTGGATTGCCTGAGCCTGCAGGTTTGAGACCAGCCCGGGCAACTTGGCAAGACCTCATCTCTACAATAAATAAAAAATTAGCTGGGCAGGCTAGCACGCGCCTACAACTCCAGCTACTTGGAAGGCTGAGATGGAAGGATTGCCTGAGTCCAGCAGGTCGATGCCGGGGTAGCCGTGAGCATGCCACTGCACACCAGCCTGAGCAATAGAATGAGACTCCAACTCAAAAAAAAAAAAAAAAAAAAAAAAGGTATTAGGACCAAATCTTCCCTTGGGACTCATACTTCCCTCCATAAGAAGACCCCAGTCCAGTTCAGTGTCAGGGATGGGGTTGGGTAAGGGGCTCACTAAGCAACACTCACACTGGGTGCTGAAGAATCCGGGGCTTGGGTTGAGGGCTGTAGCCAGACTGAGACTGTTCTAAGACCAGAGGGTTCCACCCCCAGGTTCTCAGGGCCTGCCCTCCCACCCACAGTACCCAATACTCCATGCCTGCCCAGGCACACAGCCTTCTCAGGATCAACAAAGACAAATCATAAGTTCCGGAACACTTTGCAAAGGCAAGAAGTGATAGTGACTAAGTTCAGCTCAGAGGCTTTCTTGTTAGTGATGGGAGTGGTGACCTTTCTGAAAGTTGTATCCAGGAACACAGGCAGGTTTCTAGAAAGGGAATGAAAGAAAGCAGAATGGGATCTCGCCCTTTTGTTGTTGGAGCAGGACCGAGTAGGTTTGTTGGGTCTTATGTAGAACTGGCTAATGCTATGATGATATAATCAGGACCTAAAAGAGATCTAGACAGGCCTGATTATGAGCTATCTGTGTCCAGCAGAAACAGCTAAAGGGAGGTCAAGCTACATCAATAGAGGTCTAAAGCCAGTAATAGGAATGAACAGTTCTGCTTTTGCCTGTACTGCCCAGGCTACCTGGAGTCCTATGTTCAGATCAAAGCACAGTATAGAGAGAATAGTGACCAACTGGATCAAGTTCAAGGACACAATCAGGGTAAGGAGGAGCCTGGAGACCATGTCCTGAAGGGACTGGAGCTATGCTACCTAAGAAGACAGACTCAGGGACCCCATTACTGCCTTCTTGTCCCTATAAGGTTGACCTGAAGTCAGGAGAAAACAGTAGCTTTATGGCTATCAAAGCAGAGCTAAGGACAATACAGATTCACCAGAAAGAAAGTATGTGCTCACTATAAGAAAGAGTTTGCTGCCGGGCACGGAGGCTCATGCCTGTAACCCCAGCACTTTGGGAGGCTGAAGTGAGAGAACTCTCCGAGCCCAAGGGTTCAACCCTAGCCTGGGCAACTTGGCAAGACCTCATCTCTACATAAATTTAAAAAATTAAGCCGGGCTCAGTGGCTCAGCCTGTAATCCCACGCTTTGGGAGGCTGAGGTGAGTGAATTGCCTGAGCCCGCAGGTTCGAGACCCACCTGGGCAACTTGGCAAGACCTTATCTCCACAATAATTTAAAAACTTAACCAGGCATGGTGGCACATGCCTGTAGTTTCAGTTACTTGGAAGGCTGAGGCGGAAGGACCATCTGAGCCCAGCAGGTTGTTGTGGCCGTGAGTATGCTACTGCACTCCAGCCTAGGCAACAGAGTGAGACTTCCACAGAAAGGAAGGAAGGAAAGAAAGAAACAAACAAAGGAAGAAAGAAAGAAAGGGTTTCCTAATTGTTAAATTAAAAAAAAAAAATTTAATTTGTTTTGAGTTGGAGTCTCACTCTGTCTCCCAGGCTGGCGTGCAATGGCATGCTCATGGCTAGCGTAGCCTCGACCTGCTGGGCTCAGACTATCCTTCTGCCTCAGTTTTCCAAATAGCTGGAACTGCAGGCGCATGCCATCACACCTGACTAATTTTTTTATTTATTGTAGAGATGAAGTCTCACCAAATTGCCCAGGCTGGTCTTCAACCCCTCGACTCAGGTAATCCTCTTGCCTGGCCTTCCAAAGTGCTGGGATTACAGGTTTGAGCCACTGCACCCAGCCCAATTGCTAGTTACTAAGCTTCCTTAAAATATAGTACCTGGGGAGGAAGGAAGTTCCCCATCACTGGGCATGTGCCAGCAGGGAAAAAGTCATCAATTATGGATGTGTTAGACTAGGTTGTTTCCTTTATGCCTAGGGTTGGCCATTTCTGGGATGCTCTGGCTGGGAAATTCAGTTCAAATATAACAATCCCCAGGTGGCTCCAACAGGGTAATTCCAGGGATTGGAGATAAAATACCCCCAGGATCAGTAGGTCTAGTACAGCTACAGAATATCCAGGTACCCCTCCAGCAACTATCTATGCTTTACATAATTTCCCAACTGGTATGCCAAGAATAGGTAATAGGTATACAAGGTATACTGAGGTTACTGACTCCATTAGCCCTTGGGGCCAGTCACTGCCTATGGGCAAAGCAAACAGCCTAGTTTGTTTAACTCATATGCCGTATATACAAATATTATAATTTTGTTTGGACCGTACCTTCCTTTACCCAGAGTACTAGGTTGGAGAGTTTTATTCCTTAATTAACAAATACTAGCTGGGTGCAGTGGCTCATACCTGTAATCTCAGCACTTTGGGAGGTAGAGGCGAGAGGAATGCCTGAGCCCAGGGGTTTGAGACCAGCCTGGGCAACTTGGCAAGACCTCATCTCTACAATAAATCAAAAAATTAGCTGTGCATGGTGGCATGTGCCTGTAGTTCCAGTTACTTGGAAGGCTGAGGCAGAAGAACTGCCTGAGCCCAGCAGGTTGAAGCTGCAGTAGCCATAAGGGTGCCACTGCACTCCAGCCTGGGTGACACAGTGAGACTCTGACTCAAAAAAAATAAATAAATAAACCATTGCCGGGCTCGGTGGCTCAGCCTGTAATCCCACGCCGCCTTGGGAGGCTGAGGTGAGTGGATTGCCTGAGACCACAGGTTCGAGACCCGCCTGGGCAACTTGGTGAGACCTCATGTCTACAATAAATCAAAATTAGCCGGGCGTGGTAGCACGTGCCTGTAGTTCCAGCTACTTGGAAGGCTGAGGCGGAAGGATCGCCGGAGCCCGGCAGGTCAAGGCTGCGGTGGCCGGGAGCAGCCACTGCACTCCAGTCTGGGTGACAGAGTGAGACTCCAACTCAAAAAAAACCAAAAAACAAAAAAAAACCCCAACAACAACAAATACTTTCTGACTCAGATGCAGTGCCTACCCTTAAGGAGATCCCCATCTGGTTGGGAGACAGACACAGCTGTGATATGATAGACTCTATGAGAAAAAACACACAGAATTGTGGTCATCCAGAGGACAGTGATTAAGTTTGCCCCAAGAAAGATAGAGAAGGCTTTTTGGAGGAGACACCTGGGCAGGATTTTGCAAGATGAACAGGAGTTGGCTAGGGTAATAGGAACATTATCCTGAGGTAAACACTAGGTCAGGAGAGGATGATCCTCCCCATCAGATCACCTAGTCACCTCCTTTTCTTCCAGTTCAGTTCCTTCTGATAGCTCTTAAGCCCAGATCTCACCAGACTGGGTGTTCAAAACGCAAGGCCCATGTCTACCTGCTGACAAATCAGGAGGGGAAACTTCAAGTCATATGAATAAAATAAATGGATCTCTACCCCAAACTCCCAGTCAGACCCCACTGCTAGTTCTCGCCCTTTCTCAGGAGCAGATGCTCTTTCTAGGAAGGGGCATCCAGATATCTGGAGGCCTTCAAAACTCTGAGGGAGCCCAAGGGTCCGCATCCAGGCCCCGCCTCTTCTCCACCTAGAGCCCCTTCATCTTCTGCCCTGCCTTCTTTCTCCTCCTTCTGCTCCTTAGTCTTCACACTCCCCATCATCCTTCCTCTACCTAGAGCTCTACACTAGCCCTGAGAAGGAGCAGGACAGGAATGATCGGCCCTGTTTGATTTTATTTTTTAGAGACAGGATCTCGATCTGTCACCCAGGCTGCAGCGCAGTGGTGTAATCATAGCTCACTGCAGCCTCAAACTCCTGGACACAAGCGATCTTCCCGCCTTGGCCCCCAAATGGTTGGGACTTCAGGCACATGCCACCACGTCTAGCTCATCAACCCTATTTTAGACATGGGGAAACCAAGGCTGAGTCTTTGTGTCTCAGGTAGTACAGAATCAGGAGATGATTAGTTGAAGATGATAGGGCAACCAAGATACCATCTTACCTCAAAAAAGAAAAAAAAAATCAGTAGATGAACTTTGAGAATAACAGAGGTCAACCCGTCTCACCCCATTTACTTCAATATCCTACACAACTCTCACAACTTTCTTTCTGGCCCAGCATCCATTATCTCTGTCCAGAAGATACATGGCCATCAACAGAACCTCAGAGGACATGAGACTACCTCAGAATACATACCCGTGCACATAATCACATCTCCATACAGACACACATATAGTCTCTCTCACACAAATACCCCACTCAAAGTCACTATATGCAGTCATGTCCCTCACAGTCACATGTACACACATATACAGAATCACATTTCCCACAGAGACATGCACAAGCCCACAGTGCTACACTAAGAGGCCCAAAATGCCGTCTAGTCCAATCCCGTTCTTTCCGTACTTCCCAGAAAACCCTGGAGCTCCAGAATCCACTCCTCTATGAAGTAAGCATTTGGTTCTGGGTTCGGGGTTGCCTACTTCAGAGACTCCAGCCCCTAGAATTCCACAGAAGGTGGAGGAAAACTAACCCTTGAGATATCAATTTGCAGGCATCCTCCCAACAGCCCCCGGTATGTTGACAGACCCCATTGGAGAGCTGGCTAGTCCTGTTAAAATAGACTTGGGGTCCACAGAAGATCCAGATGGGCCTGAATATAAAGTATTAGTGTCCCCCAAACCCTACCCCACAATGTGTGGCCGTTGTCTCCTTGAAGTGGAAGAGCAGGGACCAGAGGATGCAGAAGAGGAAGGCGACAAGTGGACAGCAGACCGTGACCAGGGCCACCAGGGTGAAGCGGAGCCGGACCAGGGTCCCATCCCGGTCCAGCGGCAGTGGGACCTGGTACATCTTGTCAGACCTGGGGATGGAGTGGCATGCTGTCAGGGCCCCACGCAGCGGGGCTGGGACTCAAGTGGTGAAGTCAATCCTTGTGCTCAGTCCTCAATTTAGCTGTGCTATGGGGTAGGGAGTCTGAGAAGGAAGTCACCTAAACTTGGACAACGCCTGCCCTGGATGAGGGAGATTGACTCAGAATCCCAAGACAATATTCAACCTCAACTTCAGAGGGAGGATAATGAACCAAATCTGTGCTGGGACAAAGCTTGAATGGATTAGGATACCTTCTCCTTACCCATCCGCCTGGCTTGACAGGCCTAGGACTACAGAAGCTAGTTTAACTAGTCTCTCCTTGTTTCAAGAACCAACCCTAAAGCCTACCAGTGGAAAGAATGGCCCGTATCCTCCCCCAGGCCTTTGAGCCTCAGGTCCAGCCTCCAGGGATCAGGGCCTCTCATCAGCTCTCATTGTTTCACCCACCGGCCCAGAGCCCTCCTGCACCTTCAGTCCCTTCCCAGGTTCTGTGTGTTCTGTGTCCCTGTACTGCAGTCCACAGCAGCAGGGACTTCATAGAAGCTGACAGAACCTGGGCCCCTTGCTTGTCCCCGCCAGCTGCCTCACGTGCCTGAGGGGTGAAAGGCTTTGCAGAATCAGGTCTGGTGCTAGCCTGGGCTTGCTGTTTGCTGGAGAGAGCTGCTTGGTCAGCTTCTGGAGATTTCCCAGTGCCAGGGGACTGTCCACCACCCTCCTGTGATGTCCCCCTCAGACAAGGGTATCTAAGGTCAGGAACTATAATAGCTAAGTATACCCCAACAATCCTAGCCAAGTCCCCCAAGTGTATAGAAGGGGAAGCTGAGGCAGGACTCTGTTCAGGGTCATGTAACAAATAGGTAGAAGAGCCAGCAGTAGGGAGGCATGGGGCCCACAAAGAGTTGTATGTTGCACCTCTGGCCATCCTTGACCCCATCCTCTCTGGGTCAGAGCTCTAGAAAGAAAGATCAAATTAGAACTGGAATATGGAAGGGAGAAGGGGTATCTGCCTATAGGAGGAAAAAAAGAAAAAAACAATTCCTCCATTGATGAGCCAGTTAGTCCTGTTCCCACTGTAAAGACAGAGAAACCAAGACACACACAGAGAAAGGCCCTTCCTCAAAGTCATATCCTGAGCCTGAGGGAAAGCCATACTGGAATTCTGGTTTCTTGTTGCCAAGCTAGGACTAGCTCCAGGTATATAAAGAACCTACCCTTTTGGGCTCATGGGCCTTGCCAAATCACATCCAATTCTTCCTGGCCCCTCTTAAGACTCTCTCTTCTAGTCCCACAGTCAGGAAGAACCTGACCTCAGTTAGGTTGGCATCCTGGCATTCCAGAAAAAGTCAGGTGGATACACCTCTGCATTCTCATCCATCTTCCTCTGCCAGCCTCTCTGCCAGGCGCAGTCAGACAGCCTGACCCAACTGTTCAAGTTCCTTTCTCCCTTTTGGAGGGAGCAGGTTTAAGGATCTCCCCAAGGAGTTGGAAGTGGCTCCGGTGAGCCTCCCAGATCAAATACATTCCCTGGATCATTCCTGAATGGACTGTAAGTCCCATAGGGCCCCAGATACAGGAAATGGGGGGGGGGACCATCTTCCACATCCAGCCCAAATCCAGACTCTGAGGTGGCAGCAGCACTAGCCTCCCTCCCAACATCCCTCCCCGAAGCCTGCAGCTCTAGATCCCGCAGGAACCACTGGGATTCCCAAACGGAAGTCCAGATCTTCAGGGATGAATAGGCACTGCCCAAAGCAGGGTGGTGAGAAGGTTCAAGGGACAGTCTGTTCCACTTCTTGGAGGTAGGCCTGGCCTTCCTTTTAGCTGTGTGACCTTGGGCAAGCTACTTAATCACTCTGGGCCTGTTTCTACAGTTGTGCAACATAGGGGATCACGTGGTTTAGGTTACTCCTACTCCACACCTCAGGGTGGAGCTATAGGGCAGTTGTTCAGTTCCCAGACAGCTCTAACTTCTTTACAGGTACTACCTAGCTGAAAGCGGCTTTCTTAGGAGTATCCCTGCCTCATCTCCAGTACGAACCCAATCCACAGTTACTGGGTGCCTTCGGAGTACTAGGCAGCGCTGGAGAGTCAATCTCTCTCTTAATTCTTACTATAATCCTGTGAGGTAGGTGCTATAGCCTGTATGTTTCTACTTTACAGATGAGGAAACTGAGGCTCAGGGAGCTTACAAACACTTCCTCAAGGTCACAGGCTAAAAACCGCCAGAGCTGGGATTCAAAACTAACCTATGAGGCTCCGGCTCCCCCCACCATCTGCTGCACCTGGGAGGAATCCTGACCAGGAGGCCCTGCGGAGTAAAGGGAGAGCTTAACCCCTGCACGAGTAGCCCCACGTAGGGGAGGGGAGAGGAGGGGCATCAGCTCGGCATGTCCGGGCAGCAGCGATTCCTAGGACACGGAGTGTGTGCGACAGGAGAGCAGGCACCAGGACTCCCTGAGCTTGGGGCCCGGCCCTGCAGAGGCCGGACTGCGTGGCCGAGCTCTCCCGAGTGGGGCAGCCCGGCGGTCCAGCACACCCACCCCCGTACTCACCCAAGCGGTAGTAGCGAGGATGCCGGCGGAACCCGCGGGGGAGCCCCGGCCGAGCCGGGGGGCTAGCTCCGGCGGGCTGGTGGGAGCGGGAACGACGGGGGCGGGGCTGGCGCGCTGGGGGCGGAACTTAGGGAGGAAACTGCACCCAGATCCTCTGCTGGCTCCTCCCCGCTTCTGGGGACCCCGACCCCTCGCTAGCCTTCTTCATCTGGTGTCTCATGAGGCCATGCTCTCCAGCCCTGGTCTGCCCCACTAATTCGGGCTGTGTGAGGACAGCTGGAAGAGCCCTGGACACCTGGGTTTAACCTGCTGGATAAGCCACCTTGTCACCTTACCTCTCTCAGCTGCGTTCCATCACCTGTTGAAAGAACATAAAATTAATTCAAGAGGGCCCGGTTTCCTCATTCCCTGACCCCAGTTTTTCCTATCCCCCACCCTCATTCTAATCGGATTAATCCAGCCTTGCCCTTCTGAAACATTAAGTCAGTTTCGTCCCAGTCTCGGCGCCCCTCCCCAAAACTTTGCTCGCCAGAGACGGTGAGGGACATTTCAGCAAAGGAAAGAGCACTTCTGCAGGCGAGAGCCGGTGAGGCCCATCCCAAAAACTCTGTCCTAGTGCTGTTCCCGCCTTTGGTCAGAAGAGGGCGCCCTGTCCTTTCACAGGGAGACGATCACCAGCCCCTAGTCTTGGGTCTCTCCCCGCAATGAGAATCTAGTCGATCCTCAGAAACCAGCTGCCCACCCTGGCCCTGACTGACCCATAAAGGAGGGACCCTTGGCACCCTTTGCAAAGGTGCATACCCCAACTAGGAAAGAAGCTGAGGAGACCAATAATCTCTCCTGCAGGCACACTGGGGGTTTGTCAGAGCACCTGAAGACAATGGAGGACCTCTGAAATAGAAACGGTTACCGTCACATTTTTTCCATTTAAATTCTCAGCCATAATTTTTTTTTTTTTTAGTTGGAGTCTCACTCCGTCGCACAGGCTGGAGTGCAGTGGCACGCTCACAGCTACCCCAGCGTCGACCTGCTGGGCTCTGGCGATACTTCTGCTTCAGCCTTCCAAGTAGCTGGAATTACAGGTGCGTGCTAACACGCCCGGCTAATTTTCTATTTATTGTAGAAATGAGGTCTCGCCAAGTTGCCCAAGCTGGTCTCGAACTCGCGGTCTCAGGCAATCCACTCACCTCGGCCTCCCAAAGTACTAGGATTACAGGCCGAGCCACTGAGCCCAGCCCTCAGTCATAATTAACATATTCTGAGCATCCACTATGTCCCAGGCACTCTCTTTTTTTTGTTCTTTTTTTTTTTCGTCAGGGTCTCACTCTGTCACCTAGGCTGCAATGCAGTGCACAATCACGGTTCACCATAACCTCAACCTCCTGGGCTCAGAAGATCCTTTGGCCTCAGCATTCCGAGTGGCTGGGACTACAGGCACACACTACCACACCCAGTTACCTTTTTATTTTTTGTAGATACAAGGTCTCCCTACATTGCCCAGGCTGATCTTGAACTTCTGGGCTCAAGCAACTCTCCCACCCCAGTCTCCCAAAGTGCTGCATTACAGGTGTGATCCACCACGCCCGACCCAAGCACTCTATTTTTAATGTGTTATTTAGTTATGAAAACCCTAGGCTGGGTTTGGTGGCTCAGCCTGTAATCTCAGCACTTTGGGAGGCTGAGGTGAGTGGATTGCCGAGCCTGCAGGTTCAAGACCATCCCGGGCAACTTGGCGAAACATCTCTACAATAAATCAAAAAATTAGCCAGGCATGGTAGCGCATGCCTGTAGTTCTGGCTACTTGGAAGGCTGAAGCAGAAGAACAGCCTAAGCAAAGCAAGTCGATGCTGGAGTGGCCGTGAGTGTGCCACTGCACTCCAGTCTGGGCGACGGAATGAGATTCCAATTCAAAATAAAAAAACTCTAGAAGGTAGATACTACTACTCTCCCCATTTTACCAATGGAAAACAGAGAAGGTAGGTCACCTACTCACATAAGCAGTAAAAGTCAGAATCAGGATTCAAGTTTGGCACCACAAGGTAGTTATAACTGCTACTTTGCAGAATGGGTAACTGAGGCTAAGATGTGTTGATTGATTTGCTAGAGCTCTTTTTTTATATATTCACTCTTGTTCATTCACTCAACCTTAGGCCCTCTCTGTGACAGGCCCCCACTGAGCAATGGCAGAGAATCCAGAGATATCTTGGACTCACTATGAGGGTGGGGGGCTCCAATCTAGAGATAAAGAGTCTTATTCTAAAACTATTTTTAAGCTAGGCACAGTGGCTCACATCTATAATCCCAGCTCTTTGAGAGGCTGAGGCAGGAGGACTGCTTGAGCCCAGTAGTTCGAGAACAGCCTGGACAACGTAGTGAGACCTCGACCTACAAAAAGAAATGAGCCAAGTGTGGTGGTACACACGTGGACTCCTAGCTA